TTCTGAAATATTTGTTTACAATGTAATACTTTTCATATTCTATAATCATGTAAAAATTGTTCTTTTGTAAATAAATGTTATTATTATAAAAAAAAACACTATAGAGAGTTAGAAGTCATTAGTTTTGGAGAACATGGCTTATTAATAATATGGAAGTTGGCTTGATTGTCAAAACTATAGGAAGAAAGAAGGACCTTTTCATCGATATTGAATCATTTGTTGGATGAAAATTTGGCAAATTTTTGAAATTATTCATTCCTGACCCTCAAGCTGATATAAAATAAGCTGAATAACATATTCTAAGTAAGACAAACATGAAACATTTTTTACTACTCCCTATGTCCCCACTGTAGCTATTATTGACACATGCAAACGTAAGTCATTCTTGGGATAATGATACACGTTTTTTTGTTAATATCAAAGAAATCGGTGAAATATCTAACTGGTGAAACTTTCTACTAAAAATTATAATAGTCATAAGTACAGTCTATATTCCAGTCCAGTCTATATTCCAGAGATAATGATATAACTATAATTTTATTGTTTAGATGCAATACTGAGTGCAATTCAAGTAATGAGATTTAAATATTTGACATATAAAAATTCGCATATTATAATTTTAGGCAAGTTATAGGAGAAAGATGATCCTGAAGGATGTGTTTGAAAAGTTTTCTATCATATTGTGGAATACATCAAATTAAAATTAAGGAACACCAGGATATTCCCTTTGATTCTTATGACAAAAGTTGCTTCTTGCCTACGGTGTTAAAACTATTACCTTACCCCTGAGTGTACTTGTAGGATAACTTTTTACTTTGAATCTTTCATTATCTCTGGAACTTTGTTGAAGTTTTATGTGTGTCATGTCGCATGGAAATGAATTTCAAGAATTGAATGTGAATATTCTCTGGAATCCTTTCACCTGAATGATGTTCGTAACTGAATGAATCATTTGATGCACATCTGATAAAATTTTGTAAACTCATCAGGAATTAACGTATGACGAATGTAGGAAATGACCCTATTCATTACTCGATAATGATTACTGTGAAAATAGTAGTTTTATCTCAAGTAACAAATCATCAGTCCCATCATCAAGTAAAAAAACAATAAATATCGGCAGTTATCGGCAGTATGATGAATGTTACTGATAGGGATGCTATTGAATTCAACGGAAACAATTTGATATGATTTTTTCCTCTTTGAATTTGCAGATAGTCAGTAAAATGGAAATATTAAATAAAAGAAAACGTTTGAATAGTAAAGCTACATATACAAATAGCATTAATGATCTGATGTTATGCCACAAGTTGAGTATAAATCAGTGCCTATATAATCAATCCTGTTTTCCCAAAAACGTGGAAACAAGCTTACGTTTCAACAATACCAGGGAATGGAAATTCTACCAGCTTGAATATATCTTCATATATCAATCGGCAGTCATCCCAATTCATCAAGAATGTTGAAGACAGTTTTTGGAAGGCGAATTCAAAAACACTGAAATAGCCAATGCAGTTTCAGAACAAAATTTTTGGGAATTAGTCTAACCAATTTCTGTTCTCTCTTTTTTACTGTTCATTTGCTTAATGATACTTTGACTTTCCAATCCGGCTCTGTTTCAATCTGAAACACCATATTTGCTCAATATAGCCAATATAGTGGATCTGTCGAAATGATTCCAAAAAAATATCTATCGCACATTCCTCATTTCTAACGACACATTTCCATCGAAAACACTTCTTTCAGTAGTCTGAAAATTATCTCCGGTATATCAGTAAATTTAGTGAAAACACTTTCCCAACACCAGAAGAAAAATTAATCTATCTCGACGCGCATTTCACTAACCAAGTTAGCATCCTCAAGAGATCATTATGACTTAATTTTACTACTATGTTAGTGTTTTTATAGGTGGCCTCCGCACTACTACCTGTTAGTAGTACCTAACTATAACGATGAGGTTAGGTTAACATAACTACTACCTGGATGAAACAGCAGAGTACATACTTTGTGCTTGCGCGCTGCGTACCGAATCAGGTTTTTAAAGTTCGGCAGAGCCGTACTCTTAATATCTGACCTGAAAGACCACTCACTATACAAACGAATCGGCTCCGTTAAGAAGCTAGGTTTACTTGGTCGAATGTGAATAGGTGTGAGACATAATAAACCCTTGCGGGTTACGGTGGAGGGTTGAATAGACCCACTCACTTTGGACCTGACCTAACCTAACCTGGTATTGTTCTTATGCTGTTTTTAATACCTCTAATTTGTTATGTATTTCCTTTATATTAGTAACCATCTCCTAATTTTTTTCTCTAATATTCAACTGTTTTTTATTCAGAATTATTACGTATAGGACTAAACAAATAGCTTTTCGAAATAGGACCTTCGTCGCTATTCATAGAACTCATTCCGCACTTTTCGATTTCTGAACTTTCGAAATCATTCAGAAACCGTTTGTCATGTACCGGTCTCAACTATTTTAAACACTTCCCACTCATTCTATGGTCGTTCTCTATGGCATGTTTCATATGGAAGCACTATGAATTTTGAATCTTTCACTTTTTGAAAAATCGAAGGATTACGAAGATACTCCACAAATATTTTTCTTTGCTCAAAGGAAATGTGATCAGTCTATGGACAAGAAATTGTAGTTCCTCCAGTTTGTGTTGTGGGCAATAATGGGAGCTGTCAGGGATAAACCTGAAAGTGTTCGTATTCTTTCTATTTGCATCAAACTCTAGACCCTTATCAACATTTTCAATAACTAGTAAATCCAGGAATGGTAGTTCTTTGTTATTATCAATTTCATACGTGAATTTTACACTTGCAAATCTGTTGTTGAGACAAAATAGAAAATCCTCTACTTTACTTCTATTCCTATCGAAAATTGAAAATACATTATCCACTTATCAGATCCAGGTCCGAGGAAAGTAATCCAACTCTTCCCTTGCTTTCATTTCAAATCTGCTCATGAACAGATTAGCCATGAAGGGAGACAACGGATTTTTCATTGCCTATTAAAAGAGTTATCGAACTGGAAACAATTTTGTTCCATGCAAATTCTGATAAAGCCGGATGTATTCTTCGGCTGCTTCACCACTTATTTCATCAACATCTAAGAGATCTTTCAAATATTCAATTGCTTTTGGTATGTTTACACTTTGTTATTTCCAATATTTGAAGGCTCTTTTAGATGTTAAGTGATGAAGTACTCGAAGAATACATCCGGCTTACCAAAATTTGCATGGAACGAAATTGCTTTCAGTTCGCCAACTGGACGACATGAGGGTATGGTATGGGATACCCGTTCTCTCCTTTCATGGCTAATCTGTTCTTGGGAAGATATGAAATGAAAGCAAGGGAAGAGTTGGATTACTTTCCACGGACCTGGATCCGATACGTGGATGATGTATTTGCCATTTTCGATACGAATAGAAGTAAAGTAGAGGATTTTGTATTTTGCCACAACAACAGATTTGCAAGTATAAAATTCACGTATGAAATTGAAAATAACGAAGAACTATCATTCCTGTATGTACTATTTGTTAAAAATGTCGATAAGGGTTTAAAGTTTGATGTATATAGAAAGAATTCGACCACTTTCAGGTATATCCCTGACAGCTCCCATCATTGCCCACAACAAAAAATGACGGGACTACAATTTTTTGTCCATAGACTGTTCACATTTTCCTTGAGCAAAGAAAGGTTTGAAATTGAGTAAACAGTTGTTAGGGAGGTGGCTGAAAACAAAATTTGGGGAGTATCTTCGTAACTTCACTTTTCGGAAAGAGGAAGATTGAAAATTCATAGTGCTTCCATATGAACTCAAATACACTAATGGGTTGGTCCGAACTTTCAAAAAATTGAATATAAGAGTGGCTTTCAAAACTGCACGTACACTTTAAGAAGTCTTGGGCACTCCGAAAGAGAAGACGTTGGAAAAACGAAATGAGCTGCGATGATTGTGATAAGAAATATGTTGGTCAAACCAAACGGAATATATTAGCTCGCTACAAGGAACATGTTTCGCATGTTCGGTTTCATGCCAGAGAGGACGACCATAGAATAAGTGACAAATGTTTAAAATTGTTGAGAGCGGTACATGACAATAGGTTTCTGGATGCTTCGAAAGCTTTAAGATAGAAAAGTGCGGAATGAACAGCGACAAAGGTCCTATTTCAAACAGCCCCTCTGTTTGATCTTATACGTAATAATTCTTAATAAAAATAGTTAAATATCAGGAAAAAAATCAAAATGTAAGGAATAATCACTAACATAAAGGAAATACATAAAAAATTGGAGGTATTAAAAAAACAGGTAGTTGAGCACAGGAACAATAATAGGTAGTAGTTAGGTAATACCAACCGGTGTAGTTAGGTACTACTAACAGGTACCAGCATATAAAAACACTAACATAGTAGTAAAATGGAGTCATAATGATCTCCTGAGGACGCTAACTTGGTTAGCGAAACGCGCGTTGAGAGACCGTAATTTTCGTTCTGGTGTTAGGAAAGTGTTTTCAATAGATTCATTTTACTCCAGAGGTTTCAGTACGAACTATCAAATATCAGTAAATTACGACAGTACACTTATCAATCACTTATCAATTCACTTTTCAAATTCATTTTATGCTTTTCAGTGAAATCCCGATATATATTGGGATGAGTATCATCTATTTACCGCAGTTTGAGTTTATTGAAATACTGGACCTAAATCAGCCAGTTTTCTTCGATACCTTCAGAGATTTGATCTTTTCAGCTTCCTTTTTTGTTTTTGAATGTTTTAATGTAGTGAAAGTTGCAACTTTCAAGTAGATTACCATGTAGTTACATATATATATGTTTGATGTGTCTGATATTTTTGGTCAAGTTACTTTTTCATTCATATTGGAGAAAATAATCCCCATCCACAATTTCAATACTCAAATATGAACTCGACATGTAGTCCTCCAATTGTAATATTACAGTGAGAATTTTAAATAGCATTATTTTTTCTTTCAGGCTCAATGAAACACACACAATTGTCATCAACCCGACATAGTGATATATTAAATACCAACAAGATACCGTATCAGTAAATAATCGCGGAAATGTAATTTTGTGCCAATTTTCAAGTAGTAACAATGAAAACAACCATAGAAGTCTTAAGTCCATCCATTTTATGTAGAGCTGGCGAGGACTAAAGCTTCAATTGTTTCCGAACATGGTATGAATGCTGAAAGGTTGAGAAACCTGCCTATCTGCACTGGCGTCTGCCGCCTAGCCTAGGCTGCTACTAGCCTAGCACACGCTCCACCTTTAGTTCACTGGTTTCACGACTTTGCATGAGTACATCTTTCTTATTTCACGCGTCTTTTGGCAGATAGGAGAGGACGACTGGCTCTCTTCCAGCCTTCTGGTATGATTATAATGAAACGGACCATTGAAGCAAGAAACATAGGAAGACGCAGCCTGACCGATGCGGAGTCATGAAGATCAAGACACTTTGGGCCTCGACATCTCGTACCGTCTGCTCTCTACAGTTTAAGGATCAACTTATTTTACTTGAGATACCTGTACTTCTGCGGTAGGGTTGTAATGATGAACAAATTAGAATATAAGAGTTTATATTTGTGAAGAATTAAGTGTGGTTCCATTCGATTGGGTTTGACTTGTACAAACACAACTAGAATAGAAGAAAGGAAGCTAGATAGAAGATATAGATAGGTTAGTTGGTAGTTATGTAATCGAAAAAACACGGATCCGAACATATACAATGATCACAAACCACCACGGATCAATAATTCGGAAAAGTCAATACACGTCAAGAATGATATCGAATGCACTAGCGTCAATGAGTCAAATTCATATTTGATGCACGTGTTTCCGTGTTTAGGCATCTTAATGAAAATGGACGCAAGTGTGATATAAAAATATATAAATTATTCAACGTGATATCCCAAAATCTGACATTTTATATAATATATATAATGAATGATGAAAAGTTTTGATACAAGATTTAAAGTATACCGCAGATGTAGAACATAGAACGATGAGTATTACTTAGCATTTATATATGACTAGCTGTATGTTCGGTAAAGACAGTATATATAACTTGCACGCTAATCTTAAGACGCACCACATATATAACGGCTGTATTAGTGTCTAAGTGTAAAGATAAATCACTTGTCTAGTGCTCTGCCCTTCAAAAAACACGCATTATCAACGTTGTCCTGACACTTACAATTGTGAGAAACTCTCGTGTCTTATACCTCTATCTTATTCTTGATAGCTCTCATTTCATGAACATCCGTTATAAAAATCATCAAAAGTAACTAATTTGTAGAAGACACGAAATAAACTAACATGAATATGTCAAAAATTGTTCAAAATTCATCAGTTATGGTGACGAAACTTATCCTTTCAATCATATTTTTCACTCCGAGATATCCTTCGAAATCTCATAATTATCGAGTACGAAATAATGTCATGATAAATGAAATATATAACATAGGCAACGATCTTATAAAACAAGGAAATTATACTGGATATCAGCAATTTCTATCTTTGTCGTTGTGGCATAGTTTCCTTTTTCATACCATACCGTTGAAAGAGTTAGAATCAAACTGGTAATATGGTTTAAAATTGAATAGTTGAAAAACTAATTGTATTTTCCAATTTCTTTTTAGTATACTTACCTACGTTGTATTCTTAATTTGTTAACAACTCCACGATGCGTCTTGGCTCATGAGTAACCCCGTTACTTCATATAATATCTTAATTATCTTAATAGTGTCATAAATTTATAGAATCATAACAGAATCGCTGTTCTAGAAGATTTGGATACGATACGATAAAACCTACTGAAGAACGGTGGCATGAAATATTTCATAGTACTAATACGTTCATTCGGAAAATAAACAGCAAATATACCTATTATTTACTGAAATGTGCCGACTTAACAGTCATATGGTTTGGTAACTCAACAAACTTGAAAAATAATTGAATATCTATGTACAAAATGGTTTAGACTTTCGCGACTGAGGTTTTCAGTATCACTGTTTTTCGAATTTGAAAGCCGTGGATTTTTGTAATTTCTTCCCGACGTTTCGCGGGCGCGAGTTGCTATCTTTTTCAGTCATCGGACAGCAAGCCATGATGGTTAAACCTCTGAAGAAGCTAGCCACTCGCGCCAGCGAAACGTCAGGAAGAAATTCCAAAAATCCACGGCTTTCAAACTCTAAAAACAGTGACACTGAATATCAATGTGGTTGGTAAGTTTTTAGCACTTTATGGTATCTGGTGCTACTAACTAGGTGCCATTTGAGTGTATTTGAACTCCAAACTGAATATTTTTCAACTGTTTTCAATCCGATAAATAACAACGGCGAAAATTATATTCCTGAGAAGATTGCCAAGTAACCATCATCATAACATCAGGATGTGCAGGATCATTCTCAAACATTGTTTGTTTACATTCTATGTAATATTGATAATTGATATCTTGATGCCAGACACATTTCGTGTCAGTGTTGACCTCTATAAGTAGGACAACTAATGTGAGGGTCTTTAAATTAAAAAATAATTTTTAGGCTCACTACATGTTTTTGATTCAAAAAATTTCATTTGGCATTTATTTGGCGTCTTTATCCACTGAAATCTTCGTTGCAGGACTCTGATAAATGTATTTTATCTGACATAAATCAGTAGGAGAATAACAACCCGACGAGGTTTTGATTGCTATAGTTTTTTATTCGAAAACGCTCATATTGAGGTACCTACTGTTTACTGAGATCACCCAAGTTTGAATGTTTGATCACACTTCGCGTAAGTTATTCATCGAGTTTCAAAAACAGTTGAAAAACCTAAAACCGGTAAACTATGAACCTCAGTGAAGGTAGTTCCAGAAGTTCAACTCGCAAAGACGGCCATCAACTGATAATGAAGGAGAACAGTGTGTCAAAGCGACCTGTTTCATTTTTCATCTATTGACATAATTATTCGAACTGTCTGACAAAGGTAAACACCATTGAGTTGATCAGTGAGCTAGGCAAAAATCATATTCGTTTTTGGAATCATTTCATTTTGGGAAACTGTTATTTAACTGTTATTCCAGTACAAAAATACTAGAAAATGAATATTTTCTCCAACATATGGTAGCATTTGAATTGAAATGGGGATATTTCAGGAGAGATTAGTTTTTGGGATAAACGATTTTTGGCTTTCTACTTCTCCATCTTTAAAAAACAAAGTAGAATACTTGTGAAGGGAAAAAGGAAAGGTACCCTCACGAAACAAAGAAATCCGTAGTAGGACAACATGTATCTTAACACACGTGTCATCAATTCATGCATCCTTAATAAGTGAAGAAGGTAATGAAAACGAAGCAACGTAACTACTGCTACTAACAGCCTAACCTTCTAAGGAAGAATTGCTCTTTCTACTGAAATTTCAATATTTCAGTATGGGAAACATTAGACAACGCCATAAAATTTTGTAACCGTGAACTACGAAATGCCCAGAGTAGTGAAAACAACGATTTGTGTAGTATTCAAGACGTGAAACTGTATAAACTTTTCAGTTAATAACATTGAAATGTCAAATGATAGTAAATGCGTCATCAGTTGGTCTGAAAATCTACGGTCGACTTAGTTTTCTTCAATGTTCTCAGTGCAAGCTATTATTGAATAAGAGCACCCGCTGTTTGAAATGAAATGTTAACTGTGTTTTACTTGACGTTTCACTTGTAGAAAAAAAATATAGATTGATGATGCGTGTGTGATCTTTCATTGTTCTACGTGTAGATATTTTCGCTTCGTATTAAATAACAAATTGAGAGTATCTTACCAGCATATAAAACAAATAGAATATTTATCAGTTTGGTGTTCCAATAATTTTTCTGTAGAGAGGTTGGTTGGGTAACAGGATTAGTATTTTCCTTAAAAAAACAATTGTTTTCTTGCCCACATTTTGAATTCAATAAAATTCTTCTTCGGGGATCTGTAACAATGAATTTTCATAAACATACCTTCCACAAAACTTATACGATTATTATCGTTTCAATTTCACAAGAAATAATGAATTATTAATTAAGTTATTCACCGAAAAGTTGTTTCTTCGTATTAGTATTACTATTTTAAAAACCGTCAGACATATTGGATACATATTAAAATAAATAAATAACATTGCACCAACCAGATTTTCGAGACAATACCAACACAAAACGACATGAAACAAACGAATGGCTTTATCTGTGATTCTGATAAGGTGGTGTCTGTTTTTTATTCAATGACAGAAAGAAAAAGAATGAAAAAAAAGTGAATTATTTCACTTATCAAATTGAAATATGCAGTATTGAGGTCATCGACATCATCTAGTGTTTACACTATCGCATTTGAGAATATATGTAATTTCGCTCAAATGGAAAATGTGTGGGATTTTTATGATTACTTTCTTAGAGTCTCATGTGTTCCCGGTTTTAAGATACCGTCCGGTTTGACCAACATAGCATTTGTGACAGCTTCCACAGTTTGTACACTATATTGTGTGTACAAATTGAACTGTGTAAGCTGTCACAAATGATATGTTGGTCAAAGTGGACGGTACCTTAAAACACAAGTTTCAGAACACATAAGAGACTCTAAAAAACTGAATATAAAAAACACCACAGCCCTCGTTGAACATGAAAGAGAATATGGACACATTTTTTATGTTGATCATTCAACTATTCTAGATGTTCAACCATATTTATCCAAAAAACTTTTGAGCGATAGTGTTAACACTAGAAGAGATGTCGATGGCCTTAATACTGCATATTTTACATTGATAACTAAAATACCTGAATAATTTACCCTTTTTTCATTCTTTTTCTATCTGTCATTGATCAAAAAACAGACACCACCTTATCAGAATCAATGATAAAGTCATTCGTTTTGTTTCATGTCATTTTGTGTTGGTGTTGTCTCGAAAATTTGATTGTTGTGATATTTTTTTTTAATGTATCTAATATGGTTTCGAAATAGTAATATTAACACGAAGAAACTACTTTTCGCTGAGTAATTTAATTAAGAACTCATCATTTCTTGAAAAATCGAACGATAATATTCGTGTAAGTGTTGTAAAAGCTATGAATATGAAAATTCATCGTTACAGATCCCTGAAGAAGAATGTAATCAAATTCGAAACGTCGGCAAGAAAGCAATTGTTTTTTAAGAAGAAATCGATTCTGTTACCCAACCAACTTTCCTTCAGAATATTTATCGTTTGAAAAAACATAAACTTCATACGAGGACGTATATTGTCTAATGTGGTTTGTCTCTCTCTAAATGAATATGTGCTTGACGGCCTTTTAGAATCCTTCAACAAGCTGAGTAGATGTGAATGGACTGAACTCTCGAATTACCTTTCTTTCTTCAAAAGTCATATGCATATAATAATTTCCATATTTGTTGAACAACATTGTCAAATTCCTGTTCAAGGACACGAGCAATTTTTTTATATTGAATGAGATTTCGAAGAAATATTATGTATCATTTTCATAATGAAAGGCTACATCGAATCAAATGTTGTACAGTTTGGAGAAGAAATGATACAGTACTTTATAGTAACATCTGATTGGAACATTTTTTTCATTACCTTGGATATTTATAACTGTTGTTCAAAATGGAGTTACTGGTCCGATTCAGTGAAATATAAAGACAGGTGGCAGAAAATTTTTATATTCTTGTATGTCACCTCATATATAATCAAAGAATGTAGTTCTACGTCTCATTTGTAGAGTGGCAGACATTATGATGTGTGTGATATTTGATGTGTTCTTGCACAAGTTAACATAGGGTTAGGATGAAATCAACTCATTTTCTGTTATATTGTTGAATATATCTTTGTTTCATAGTTTGTTGAGTTTCAATTGTTTATTTGTTATTGCTTTGGTTAGTAAATTGAAAACTTGCATGTGACTCTCAGAGTAAGCATCGATGTCTCTTCTCCAAAATTTGTATGAATTATTTCAAATGGGAATGATATTAAATAAAAATTCTTGGAATAATCAAATAAATTACTAAAAACAGTCTACTGTAAGATCAACGTAAACAAAATAAACAAACAAATAGTATCAGTCAGCTTTTAGTAATTTGATTGTAGGTATGTATGGGTTCTACGATTTGAAAACTTTATAAACGAATGTTCCATGAAAACAGTATTTCTAAGAGATACATCAGTAGAAGAATATGAATTACGTGCTCTTATTGCAATAGTCACAAATTGAACTCTTTCAAACAAACTTTGAGTAATGTCAAGAAATTGGATAGATATATCTTCATTAACAAACTATAGAGTTCAAATTTCATGATACTATCATAATTTGATATTTCTTCATCTACTGAAGTATCTGGTTCAGATCCAATGAAAAGATAACAAAATCACATTTGTAAGTAATCACCACCTCTTTGCTATAGCAAATCTGCACAGTAGTCAATTACAGTCAGTAACCTAAGGGGCTAACACATTTAGGAGGTCCTAGAATTGCATGTGGAATTTTAGTTAGATTGTCTCTTAGAATATCATACTCTGTGATAGTATATTGTTGTCTTAAAGAAATGTGCAAAAAGAAAACGAATTATATTATAATTATTATAGAAATGCATATATATACGATAACATTATAATAGATTTTTATACTTTTGGTACTTATAATTTAAAAGACAATCTTTTTTGACTTCCATCTCCGAGGGCACAAAATACTTCTTCAATTCCAAGGCGCGAAAATTAGAAAGAGTCGAAAAATATTGTCAAATTCAGATGTATTTACTGAAATTTCATCACGGGGAAAGTGAGAAGTCCCAAGGGGAGAATTTCTAGATGTCTTCCAAATGAACCATGAAATGAAAAGTGGAAGTGTTGAGTAAATCCAACAGACAGGCTACCATACACCAGAAGTATAATACTCTTCTCGACGTTTCACCAAGCAAGTTGGTAACATCGGAAGATGAACAATTCTAATTTTTCAACTTCACCTATTCATATCTAACAACC